GATCCTAACCCTAAAGACGTTGTTTATTAATTTAAATATTTTGCTTAATTTGATCATGCATATTGATTTAGCCAATCAATATCGTAAATTTTTATCATGTGAAAAATATCACATGTTGATTAACCAATAAAATTGTAAATTTTTATAAAGTTAAAAAGAACAATATTTAATTAAAATTTAAAGTTCAAAATAACTGCTACCAAACATTATTGTTAAGTAAGCAAGCATATATTTATTAATTTAAATCAAGATTATTAATTTGTTCAATACGTAGTTTTTATTTTTATTTTATTTACAAAAACCTCAATAATCTATATGCTTAATTCTCTGTCTAATTTTACGTCTAAATATACGTCCAAATCTAATTCTATATTTACTCAAATTTCTAATATCTTACACTATACTATATATCGTATATTAAATGAATATTATTCTAATAAGAAACCTTTGCAATTTTAATACAAATCATGCATTTATTCAGTATAAACTTCATATCATATCTTAAACGCTCCTATAGTGATGATATTAATAAATCATATAGTTAATTAACATTATTCATATATTTCAATTTTCAAAAGAATTTTTATGCAAATACATATAATAAATTATATATATATACTAATTTCTTTCTTCTACACTACCATAATTAAACGTTATTTTACCTTTTGTTTTGCGAAACAAACGAGACTTTGTCAATGTAGGAGTGGATAATTACTTATAACTTCAACTGGCGAAGTGCAATATGAAAGTTGTTGGATTAAAATGGATTAAACGAATATGTTGTAAGGCAAGGTGAGAACTTCAAGTTTAATAGTTTTCATATTTTTATGGATGAGATATAATCTACCCAAGCTTCCGAAAAAAACCCTTAATCAATCGTGTAACGATCTACAAAATCGGGGCACTCGAGACGTTATTGTCTCGAACCTCGAGAGTGCTTGTCCATGTTATGATTATAATCCCTCACCTATTTAATTATAATCGTAACATCTACTAGCGAAATGATCTGGTATTGTAAAATAATTTTTTTATGTGCTGCACACCAGATGTGAACTCATACAGGGGAATCATGATCGGCAGGGCCGGAATTAACTAATTTTGCCCAAGATCACTAAAAGTTTTACTAATGAAACCATAGCTCACTCATTAAGTAAAGCTGCCCAGCTGATAATATTGGCCCAGAGATGGTTAACTTGTATTACTAAATGCCGGACTAAATCCGATGGTTCCGACCCGGAATTTTGGGGATCCCCCTGTATGAGTTCCAGGTGTGGGATTAGTTGTGTAACATCGACGGTTCTCTACAGCCACCTCCTAGATAGTCACATTTGCTTAGAATCACATAACGCGAGAACTATAGAAAGTTCAAGCAGCAATAATTCTTGACCAGCAAACTCACACAAATAAAATTATATTTGCCGGGTTTGTCATAATGTGTCTTTTAGCTACGTTTTTGATATTCCTATTAATAATAAATCTAACCTTACCGAATTTTAAGAATTTAGTCTTCACCGCCAACCTTGTCACAATTACGATATACCTCATACTTTCGTTTGACCTAATGATCGATTGAGCATGTGTCTATCCGGGCTTGTCACATGTTCGATCGTTTACTGATTCGAGACAAAAGCTGTCTCGATACATACGTATCGAGCAGCTTTTGATTTGAGGTATATGCAATTGACAATTGTATATACGCTATTGGCAATTGTATATTTTCGATTGATAATTGGACGATTAATAGTTTCGTATACACTTTGATTAATGTATATGTTGTAAGTGAAACAGAATTTAAGTGTATTCAGATTTTTCTAGTTAACTCGAAATGCTGGTTTTATACAAAAATTCTGTATCCACTTAAACGTAAAAAAATTTTTTACCACCATTAATAATTAGTGATTCTATTTAATTAGTATGCGGTGCCTACATTTAAATAAACCTTGACTTAAATTCCTAAGCAACACACTCGGTGAGTGCTCCGTCTACCAATCAAATTATAAGATCAGGTGTAACATAAAATTCCAAAAATCGCATATACAGTAACTTAAACTTTTGTTTACAAAACCACCTTACCTGTTCTAACAAAAAACAAAATTTTAGTATGATATACGTCCTATTAGATCTGTATCTCAACATGCCTCGTTTTGATTGAATTAAAATTTCTGAGCCAGTTTCGTCTAGGTTTTCTCTTCATCCAAGAGGAATTGGTGAGGAAATTTAGTTAATCCTACACTTTATAAAATAATTTAGAATCCATTGAACTTTATAAGTTGAAATTGAATTCTTTAACAACTTAAAATTCACTTACGTATAAGCTATGTTTATTCGAAATCAACTTAAGTGGATTCTAAATCCATATAATTCCATTCCGACATAGATTGAATTGGTTGCTATAAATTGATCAACCAATAGGGGATTCAGAATTAACTTTAAAATCCCGACATAGGAAATTAAATAACAAGAAACGATCTGCAATATACTAAGAGGTTATTATAAAACCGATTTCTATTTTAAAAAAAGGCATTTTTTTAGAGACTTGTAAATGCCACCCTCTATTTTTGTTAATGCCACCCCTTACATAATCTAACCCTAATTAATAATTAGGGTCTGAAAGGTCGGAAATTAAATATTTTATATAAAGGGGGTGGCATTAGCAAAAGTAAAGGGTGGCATTAACAAATCTCTTTTTTTATAATCTAAAAATAACAATCAGTTTTAAAAAAAACTTTAAACAAAATATTTTTGCAAAAGTTATTCTATAAATATGTAATTTAAAAATTCGTGAAGATTCTTGAGGCAGTTGTGTGCCAAATAACAACACAGTCAATAAAGAAATGAAGATCTTTTACTAAAAAGAAAAATTACACAGATTTGAAACTTTTCTGACTAAGAATTATTTATTTATATATTAAATTGTTAAATGATAATTAAGTATCTTAAAAGTGACAATATACAGTCCAGAAATATACCAAATTAGGAGGACATCTAAAGCAGAGGCAACTTATATTTAACAAAGTTTTCGATTAACTTTGGGTTAGAGTTGTCTATATCAGGGTTAGCTTAGGTTTTAGATAGTCATATATATGCAAAATTGCTTTTCTGACATTTTTAATTAACCTACCCAAGGCAGGTTTAGACTATCATTTTTTGTATTTTTTGTATTTTTGGTTTTTATTTTTTGTTTTGCTTCACTGGTGATTATCAAAATTCTATAATTTGATTGGCTTTAAATTATATGATTTGCCTTCGCTTTAAACATACCTCAAATTAGGAAATTGTATTCTAGAATGATTTGCAAGCTAATCCTTGAATTTGATTGGCTCTCACATGTCTTTTACTTCTCAAAAATCATGCATTCAAAAAAATTTTGTTTTTAATAATTATTAGAATCTAATAAGCTTCAAATATGTATTTCAAACCATATATTTTCAATAATCCCAAATAATCCTGTGTGGTGTTACAGGAAATTTTTAACTTTGATGTTACCCAGGTTCCAAATTACTGTATCATACAGATACCTGTTTCTAATGACTACATTTTGGTGATCGTATAGTTACCTAGTCCGATTACTTTACTATTACTACATTTCTCTTCACTTTTATTTCATTTTTCCCTCATTATTGATTTCCATGCTATATTTTTAGATTTCTTCCCATTACTACATTTTAGCAACATTACAGCAACATTACAATCATTTTCATAATAATGATTATATAATAACTTCATTTTTCTTATATATGTATGAAAAGTATATTTAAAAGACCTCGCGAGGGGAAAGGAAAATATTCATTCTTCCTTATTTAATACATAAGCTTGAAAGACAATAATAAAATAATAATTGCTAACAACGATAATAATAAATACATTCATTACTATAATAATTGGTGAATCTCTAATAATTAATCTACTAACATAAACCTCACGTATTTGACAAATAAAATGTTATTGCAATAATTAGAATCTCTGTGCTATTTGATATACTCTAGTTCTTCCAAGAATAGCTTCATGATAAGTAATAGAACTAAACTTTTTATGCTCATGGTCTAAAATTACAATTCGATAACAAGAATAGAAAAGTCTTTCCTCAAATCATGACATTTTGGTGCCGATTGTGTGGAATGAATGTTTCGCATGCCTCAGTATTTTTTTTTTAAAAAAGGAAGGAGAATATATTTCTCAATTAGCAAACAAATAAATTAAAAAAAAAAAAAAAAACACAAAAAATGTGGAGAAACATCTTTAATAAAACAGCTGGAAATGGTAATAATAGTAATATACTAATAGAAGAAGGAAACCTATCTGAATATACCAATTTTCCTCAAGATGGAAACATATTTGAATGTCACAATAATACACCAGCTAATCCTGACGAACAGAATGATTCGAATCAACAGACTATAAGGATATTACAAGTAATAGCGAATGTTTTGACCCAGCCACGAGTACAGCATCTAGAAGTAAGAGAACAAAATATTGTAAGCATTCCTGCTTTTGTTAGAGGAAACCAGGATCCCTTAGAATGGTTGGATTCAATCAGTAGAGTGTTTGAAGCAAACAACATTCTAGATACAAGAAGGTTGGCAGTTGTGGGCACACACCTCATTGGTTTAGCCGCACTATGGTGGAAAGGACAGAAAAATGAAATTAGGTTTTGGAATAATGATCAAGAACCAAATCAAAGCTTTGCACATCAATTCCAACGGGCTTTTTGTACACAAGCATTGGTGAACCAGTGGAACACAGAATTATTGACCCGGAAACAGCAAATCAAAGAGACAGTAGACCAATATGTGGCGAATATGTTATCATTGTTTAATTGTGTGGCAAGAAGTGGAAGTCAATACCCTGAAGGTATAAAGGCTCAGATATTCGTACAGGGACTTCGTTCAGACCTGTCAATGGCTGTAGGACCCTTTATGTCCAACACATTACAAGAAGCAATTGACAGATCAAGGGTCTGTGAAGTGACTCTCGCACGAGAGTTAACAGCTTGTGGACCTATGTCTATTTATAATACAGCAGCAGGAACCATAGCTTCTTCTTCTTCAATTCATCAAACATCTTATCCTTTAAGTTCTCTAGCAATGTAGTCAGCATCGACAGTAATAGGAAACCCAATGGATCAGGTGGTCACTTTATTACAAGAGGTAGTCTCAGCTGTTAGAGATAATAAGAGTAGTAACAATTGGTTCCGTCTCTCTCAAAACCAAAATCAGCAAGAGAGAGCAAGTCGCCCAGTAGTCTGTTATGCTTGTCAACAGCCAGGACATATTGCCTGTGATTGTCTAAATATGAATACTACCCAAAATCGACTTAGCACAACTCTGACATCCCAAACTAACAAACAAACAGGTAATAGTGGTGCTGTCAAACAAAACTCTCAGATTCAAGCATTGGTGGCCCAAATGCAACATGACTTTGAACATTTAAACTAGAAGGTGCACCTTCTGAGGGTAAGAGTGCGCAACCAAGTAAAAACCTCTCAATATCTGAATTAATAGAAGTATATGCAGCAAAGAGAAGAAAGAACAATGCTGGAGGGTCTGTTGAGGCTGAAGAGCCATTTGAAGAAAATGCTGAAGCTGAAGAAAATGGAAATTTGAAGAGAAAACCAATAAAGAAAAAGAAGACAAAACCAGTAAATCCTTAGATCATTATGAACATCCAACCATATTTTGTGATGATGGACTTACAGAATAAAAAAGCGAACATAACATATGCTCAGCTGTTTCAAGCAGCCCCGAATGTAAGAAGAGAAGCACTGAAAGTACTGCACTCTGGAAAAATATCAAAGCAAAATTCACTGAGTTTTGTTTAAATCGAAATGGTGAATTATATACCACATCTATGTATTGTGAAGCTCAAGTCAACAATGAACTGATAGTTCTAGTCTTGGATAGTAGATCTTCTGGCTGTGTTGTATCTGCTGGGTTTTTAAAGAAGGTTGGAATTCATATCAACCACCTGTCTACAGTTATAATAGTGGGAGTCTATAGGAAACAAAGAAGGCCTATCAGAGAAATTGACCGATTTCCGATAACAGTAGATGGAAAAACTATAACATTACATGTAGTAGTTACAGAAGCTGGTAACTAAGCTGTAATAGTGGGAAACGACTGGATGAGAAAAGCTCGAGCTCGATTAGACTGGGAGTCTTGTGAATTAATGATAAGAGATGGAAATAAAAAGATAAAAGTTCCAACAGAATACTGTAAGCCAGTGAATATTAGTGAATGAATAATAAAAAAGAAACCAATTATATGAAAGGAAGAGAAAGGAGAAAAAGGAGAGAAAGACAATGATGAGGATGAGGATGATGAAAAGAAGAAGAAAGACAAAAGTGAAGAATTAGATTCAGATTATGAAGATAATGACAATTATGAAGAAAACTTAATGACTCAGACCTACCTATATTGTGAGTTTCAGCCTATTAAAAAAGAAACTATAGTCATATGTAAATACTGTTTAAAGAAAGGACATGAACAAAGTGAATGTATGCTAAGAAAAACTTCAGATGAGTGGTCTGGTTATTGCATTCAAGAAAAGAAAGAAGAGGATAAAGAGTTCAATTTAAGCAAAATGTCAAAAGATCAGAAAAAGCGAATGAGAGAGGTATTGAAAAGATATCAAGATCTTTTTGCTCGGGAGCCTAGTCAATTGGGTAGAACAATGGTTGTTCAACATGAAATTTTTGTGGAAGAAGGGCCCCCAATTAAGCAAAGGTTCTATCCTACCTCGAGAGTGGAGCATGAATTTATTAGTAAGGAAATTCAAAGATTAGAACAAACGGGTCTGATTCGTCCCTCTAATAGTCCTTGGGCCTCGCCGGTAGTACTTGTAAAAAAAAAAACAGAAAGCTACGATTGTACATAGATTTTTGTAAGTTAAATAAAAGAACCAAATGAGACAGCTATCCATTATCCCGAATTAATGAACTGCTTGGTGCTCTTAAGAACTCAGCCTGGTACACAATCTTGGATCTTGTCAGCGGATTTTGGCAGGTCGGTATGCACCCCCAAGACTGTGAAAAGACAGCATTTATTATAAAGTTTGGGTTGTATGAGTTTGTAGTAATGCCATTCAGATTAACGAATGCACCTGCTACATTTCAAAGACTAATGGACTGGGTTTTACAAAAGGAAATGTAGAAATTTGTGTTGGCCTATATCGATGATGTTAATATATACTTGCCTGATTTTAATCAACACCTAAAACACGTTGAAGTGGTGCTGACTCGATTAAAGGAAGCAAACCTAAAATAAATTCCGATAAATGTTTTTGAAGACAAAATAAAATTTTATTTCTAGGACATGAAATTAGCGATAATGGTATTGCTGCTGCTAAATCAAAGGTAGTGGCTGTCAAAAATTTTCCTCAACCAAAGAACCTACAAACATTGCATGGTTTTCTTGGACTTGCAGGTTTTTACCATAGATTTATTAAAGATTTTTCCAAGATCGCTGCCTCTCTAAATAAATTGCTTAAGGCAAAGGAGCCTTTTGCTTAGAGAAAAGAACAAGAAGATACCTTTGTAGAGTTAAAATCAAGGCTAGTTTCAGCACTAATACTTGCACATCCTCGAGATGATAAAGAATTCATTTTATATACTGATGCTTCACACATAGCTCTTGGAGCTGTATTGTCTCAAGTAGATGATAAAGGGAAGGAGCACATAGTTGAGTATGCAAGTAGATCAACAAAGCCTTTTGAAAAAATTATTCTATAACAGAACTGGAATGCACTGCAATAGTGTGGGCAGTAAAGAAATTCCATCTTTACCTACATGGATTTCACTTCACATTAGTAACTGACCATACTGCATTAACTTATTTAAATAATATGTCAAATCCAACTGATAGAATAGCAAGGTATATAATAACCTTACAGAGGTATGACTTTGTTATAAAATATAGATCTGGAAAGCAGATCTCGAATGTGGACGGATTGTCAAGAGCAGTTATATTCGATCATAATAGCAAAAGAAAAACAAAAAAAGGTGGTCAATAAATACAAGATAAATAACAATAATAAT